GGTATGGGCTAGAACCAATCTGGTGGGATGCGGCTATGCGCAGTGTCGCGACGTTTTGGGTGTTGAAGGTCGAGGACACCGACACGTTTTTGTTTGTCACTATAATCCACAGGGAAACACCGTTTTCGTTACCGGAAGCGGTCAATTTTTCTCGGTTAGCATTGACTTTTCGAAGAATCTGCTTCACTTCAATTTCCAACAACCGAAGGCGGTTGACTTCAAAATGAGGCACATACGAAATGTATTCGAATTGATAATTGTGATCAAACCGGTTCAGGTACCAGCTTTCAAATGGGCCGTTGACGACGAGAAACGATGTAGCGAATGCCCACCGGAAGCATCCGCATGCTACAAGGGACTTTGCTATGCACCTTCGGCAGCTGAGGACGACTCAAGAAATGAGCTGCTGAAAATGAAACAGTGGAAAATCGAGAAATCAGTTGATTCGAAGATGATCGAAAAAAATTGGCGACGACTTTAACGGTGCTGCGCATTCAACCAATGAACAATCTTATAGCACGAGTACAATGGCCAGATCAACTTTATCTGTCCAATACTGAGTGTTCTCTGGGGATTTGTTTAGTCTGATAATAACGTTTCCCCTTTTAAAGAGCTCTTATGAGAGCCTTGCACAAATTTTTTCGGTAGCACATTATAGAGCTACCATTTTGTGGCATTCCTGGTGATCCGTCAGTCCCCCACAAAGAAAATGGAAAACAATTCGCCTTGTGGAATGAAAGTTGAGATGATCGATAAAAACGAGCAATTGTGAAACTTTATCGTAGCTGAAATATGATTTTATGAGGGTGTTTGATCCATCACGGTGATATCGAATCATAACTGAGTACTGTTTGGTATTCGATGATTTGGTATAAAAATACAATTAGCATACTATGAGACGGTGCTAAAAAGGACACTCACGGACAGATGGAGTTGTTACATGGCTGTGTTGGCTTTATAGAGCAATTGTAATTACTTACTAAATTACAACAAAAACTACTTGTGAACTCAATAGCCTAAGCTCGATTCTGACCGTGTCACTGATGCGTTGTTTGCATTCAAATCTCGCACATCCATGCCTCACGAATGTTGAACTTGATGGAAACTGTAAAATTATAAAGAATGCGATTATCGACAAAATTTGATTCTAGTCAAATTGAGCAAATTGCAATCGAATTGAGCAATTTAGAAGAGGAAATCAGAAGTTCGAACGATGTGCATCTCTATGAGCGTTTCTGGTAGCATGACTGTTTCATGTTGTTAGAATGAGGGATTTGGAATAGTCACCCTTAATCGTCCTGTTTTGAAGAAAT